CACCTCAAGTAGTAGATGACAATGTTGACGCGACACCAGTTCAACAAGCAACAAGTACATCAAGTTCAACAGCCCAACAACCGCCACCATTGCCAATGACGCCATTGTTTAAAACAACAATAGATAATACTATTAGTCCCGCTTACTGGAAAGACAACCCTAATTTAACAGTAAATGATATTAAATTTCAGTTTTATTTAAGAGGAATTCAAGTGCCAGAAGAAAGCGAAATACAAGAAGAATTGAAACAAAAAGGAAGAGGCAAGGCGAGAACATACAAAGAATATTTAGTGGATATGATTTTAGACACTATTGATAATGGCGGATGGATAGCAAATTTAAGCAGAGGTAGAATAGAAGAACTCAAGGCAAGTTTTAAGGGTAAAGGTAAGAAATAAAAATATAAATAATAATAATAATAATAATGATAATATTAACTAAAAATATACTGAAAAGAAAGAAGCAGAAGTTCAATGATAATTATGATCACGACGACAGTTTTTCAATACATAACCTAACAAAACCAAACACACCAACAACAATACAACCACCGAAAATGATGAAAAAAGGCATACCGAGAGAATTTATTGACATTGCAACCAATACAGATACAATCGCCACAGAAACCAGAGAGACTCAAGAAAAGTTATACAATGATGCAAATCAACAATTAAATATGACATTTGAAGCGTTTAAGGTAAAGGAAAACCAAGATAATATGTTTAAAATAATGCTTAAAAACTTTTGGCACAACACATACAAAAGACATGAACCAACAAGAACGCAAGCAACACAAACACTGAAAAACCAACGCGACACAATGGTGTCAGCCTTTACTAAAATGCTCGACAACAACAAACCACCAGAACCACCGCCAAAGAAACCACCAGACGAGGAGGACAGCGATGAAGAAGAAAAAAGATTCAAACTGACAAAAATGATAGAAATAATGCTACACAACGGCGCTACAGTAGCAGATGTAATATTAAACTTATCACATAGCGCAATTGCAACAACAATAAATATCGCAGATTTAGTTAATCAAATAACAGCAGGAAATGCACAAGGTAGCAGTAGTTCTTCTAATGAAATTGTTAGTGTTCATAGTTCTCCACCTATTACTGTTCATAGTTCTTCATCTGAAAGTCCAACAGAAATACCAGCACCAACTGAAGACGAAGAAGAAGACGGAGAAGAAAAACAAAAATATAATTTTGAAAAATTAAAATCTAAATAATATTATATATAATGGGTTCAAGTAAATCAAAACCAGTAGAAATTGATGATGAAGAGGCTATTAAAGTAATAAAAGATATAGATGTAAATACGATAAGTGAAATGTCAAGAATTGATATTCTACAAATAAATTCATTGAAAGCAATAATAAATAAATTAGAAAAAGTTAATGAATGTAAAAAAGATAAAAACATATTATAAATTTCCTGCCTTAAATTTATGTAGCTATTCTTTATTCTAAATTGATAATATTAACATACATTAATATTATTAATTACTATCATAATCTGTCATTTCACTTTCGGGTAATTTTGTTGAGGCGTTGCTACACATATCATCTATTAAATCTTCTTCATCAACAAAATTATTTTGAAATCTTAATAATTCCTCGTCTGTTGGTCGTCTTTTTAACACTTTATAAAGTTTATGTATCCAAGAATTAGTATGAAAATTGTAATTACCTCTACGATAAAATCCACCACATCTACATAGTTTCATTAGCATATTATTATATTATATTAAATTAGAATATCTTTATTCATCATTTGTAATTTGAAATGCCTGTTCAAAACGGAGAAAAAACATGTCATTCACATTCTTAGCATTCATATTCACGTAGAAGAAACTATAAGGTGCGTCATTAACGGCTTGATGATACATATCTAATAATTGCTGTTTATCAACAATGGCGCTATTTTCTTCAATAAAACTCATTAACTCACTTGCATTTTTCAACCTAAAAATATATAATGAACTGGCATTTAAACGAATGATAGGCGCTAAAACATTATATTTTTGTGTTGAACAAATTACACTTACTGCATCGTGCCTGCCTCTTGTAAATAATCCATGTAATAATTTACTATATCTAACAAATTTAGGATCGTCTGCGTGGTCATCTATAACGATTAATATTGAATGCAGTTTCTTTATCTTTTTAGATTTCATATAATTAATTATTTTCTTCTGTCTTTCAATTACATTTTCTAAATCACTTGGATTATAATTATCAAAATAAATTTGTTCTTTTTCATCATCCACGTGCAATTCATCCCTGATATATTTTTTAACTTCTGTAAAGGTTGGGTCATTATGAACGCTGGGGGAAAATATAAATATTCTTGCAAATGAATTTCTATAAACATTTAAGATAAGGTTCTGAACCAATACTGTTTTGCCACCTGTCGAAGAAGCAACTATAATACTTCTAAATGGTAATTTTGGCACGTGCTCATATTTAGATTGTTTGAATTCATATTCAGTTATGTTTATTGGCTTTATTATTGGAACATCTGACATAATAAAATAATATTAAAGTTATTTAGAAAATATTTTATATTTATTATTTTATATGAATAGAAGCTATTCAGATTATATTGATATAATAGATGAAGTAGAGAATTTAGAACAAGTTGTTATAACTGATAATAGATGCAAGAAAGTATGCTATTTTGTTTTAGAAATAATTAAGTTTATGATACAATATATCAAAAATAAAAATGTAAATATTAATATAAATGGGAAGAAAGAAAAAGAATAAGACTGAACCAGTTGTTTCTTCAACTGATGAAGACAAAGAAGAAGTTGTTAAAGAAACATCAGTTATTGAGTTTACTTGTCCGATGTGTAAAAGAATATTAGAAATGAAAAATGAATTAGAAATTCAAAAGAAAGGAAATTGCAAATGTTCGTGTATTCCAGCCAGTTTCAAAATAAGTAGAAATGATAAGAAAATGAATATTGATAAAACTAAAGACAGTATCAACTTAGAAACAGATGTTCATAATATTGCTGTACGCTTTGGGAGGGGAGTTACTCCATCCGATAATGGTGATAAGGAAACTCAGGAAACTATTAAACAAATGATGAAAAATTAGTAATTAAAAAGTAGATTTAACATAATTTAAACATTTAGTTTTAAAAGTTTTATTTTATAATATAATATATATATTTACATGGATGAAGGATTAGAAAAGATGGTTAAAACACTGAACAAGGTTTTAGAACAGAATAAGAATATTTTAGAAATCTTGCAAGAAATGGAAAAGAAGAAACCGCTAACAAACAGTTATCAAAGTAAAGAAGTAGATCGAACCAATGGTGAATATAAAAATAAAAGAAATATTTATTTAAACAAACTTAATAACAAAGAAATTAAAGAACCGAAGGCTTCAACTATGACATTTTATCAAATTGACTATGATGAAGATACAGGGGTTTATTCTTGATTGAAAACATTTTTCTCTGAAAATCCGTTTAAAGACATATTGGCATAACTAAGATTATGAGTTCTACAGATGACGAAGAAGAAACAGGATACACAATGGTTTATCCTTGCAGTAAATGCGACGAAGCAAAGCCAAGAAAGGATTTTCACAAAATGTATGATAGAATTAAAATGGAAGAGATATTTTACAAAACATGTAAGGAATGCAGAGACAAAGTAAAAGCAACAAAAGAGTTAAGGAAGGAACAGAAGAAACGAATACAACCCCTGGAAATACATAGATTAAAGCCTTTGATACCATAGTTTTGCTATACTTACAACATGTAAGATCTTATATGTTGTAATTATAATTCGCTTGATTTAAAAGTTTCCCTGAAAATGTATTTAAAGAAATATTACCTTAATATAATAAGAGGAAAATGAACGATGATAAAATCAATAATTATATCAATAAAAAATGCTATGATTGTTGTCACTTCAAAAAAGAAAATATGGAATTGTATAAATTAAATTTGCCTATTGAAATAGTGAATATTATTATTAATTATTCAATGGATGAAGAAGATATATGCGAAAATTGTAAAACCTGGAGAGATAACCAAGCTATAATCAATTGTGTGTTGAGAAAAAAATAAGACATAATAGAAATGTAGAAGATGACATTTTGATATTTTTAACTGTAAATAAAATACCACCTTATGAATATGTTAAACAGTTTCTTAAAATCAGTAAGAAAAATATGTAATGATTGCTGATATATTATTGATGTTGTGTCATAGTCAAAAGAAAGGACAAGATATTAAAGAATATATTAAATTTTATATTGAAATTTATAAAAAGTTTAATGTTAAAAATACAGTGAGAGATATTAATATTATTTTTAAAATGATGTATGAAAGAAGTAATATTTGTCAATTAAATTATTATCCTGTACTGAAATTGTAATCATAATATAATAATAACATATAAATGTTTATATGTTATAATTATAGTTTAATTTTCCCATATAAGCCGTGGGGGTGCTTTCCTACATGGGCCTTTCCCGATCCGCATTTTGCCATCCATATTTTACTGGGATTGTTTTCAAGATTTGGGTTAACGGTTTTAATTCTCCCTTTTCCATTGGTTAACCATTTTTCGGGGCGAACATAGGGTTCTTTTTTAGACTGTTCGTATTTGTTGGAAATGGGAAAGGGTCTCAGGTTGGATCAAGGGAGAAATTATTGAGATCTTGGGGTTGCGATCTTGGGAATGGAAAAATGTTGGTATGTAGCTTGGATTTTTTTGGTGGGATTTGTTGAGGTGGTATGTAGTTATGATTGTTGTTATTGAATGAGCATAAGGGTGATGTTGAGATGGGGTAAGAAATGAAGATGGGTATGTGAATATGTGTTTTTTGGTGTTGGATTGGTTGGGTGATTGAATTTGAATGTTGAAAATAGGTTGTTTTAGTGGGCGTATTCAGAATGTGCCCAAAAGTGTGGGGGGGACCCTATGACCGGATGGCAAAATGCGGACGGGAGAGGCCACCACTAACTCAGCCCTGGTCAGGCCTCTTGCCGATGCACTTCTTCAGAACATCTCGGATGACATCCTCCAGGGTGGCGGCGGCCACAGCGCCGAGGTCACGCCAGCAGCCGTTGTCGTACGTCATGAGGGTCATGCGATCAGCTGTCACCGGGATCGCCTTCATCAGTTCGCGCACCTGATAACCAGTGCTGGTGACGTGGTGCGGCACGACATCTGCAATCAGCTTCGGGAAGTTGGTCTCCCCTTTCAAGCAGCGCTGCCGTACCTCAATCCTTGCGTCCTCCAACTCCTCCCAACCTTCATCCCTGACGCTCCAGTCGTGCTCAGGGAACTTGGTCTGAAGGTACTGCAACGTTTCGTCCAGGGATGCTGGCGCCTGAGTCGACACCGAGGCAATCTGCCTCATCTCGTTCATCATCGTCTCCCTGAGGTGCTCGTGGGCCACACAGTAGAGCCCGTCGTGCTCGTAGCTCTGCACCTCGCCGTATTGACGCGCCACATTCTCCATGAGGTTCAAAACCGCCCTCTCGTGCCTCTCATTGAGAAGAGATTGGACGGCAGCAGCAGGCCAGTGGTAGCCGTTCGCTCGGAAGACTTGGGCCAGCTGAGGATGTGCGTCAGCATCCTTCTGCATCAACACGGTCTGCTCCTTAGCGAAATCCCACACGAAGGCAGGAACCTGGTCCGCGGTCTTGCCAGCCTTGCCCATGATACTCATGACATGGTTCGCACCGCCGCCGTTCATGAGACCCCGGAAAAGCTTCTTCGCCAGGTCCCGGTCTCCAGTGAAGCCTTCGCACTCGGCTCGATTGTTCACGTAGTACCGCAGGCAGACCGCATCGGGGTGCCTCTCCAGCTGGGCGAAGCAATGGCTCATGGACTGGTCCACATCGATTCCTCCAGGAGCGCGTAGCACGTTGCGAAGCCACTTGGGGAAGGTGAAAAGCCCCTTTGTCGCATCCCAAGTGCAAGAGCCTACTTGGCCCTCCAAGTCCTCGATCTTGTTTGCCAAGGCCTCGGGAACTCCTGAGGTGTGGCTCAACCCGGGCAGCCGTCGGCCCTGTACACCTGCCAAGGATCCCAGACAAGTGTCGTGCCAGTAGGTCTGCATCTTGCTGTGGGAGTTGAGCCGTCGCATGAGCCAATACAGCTCCCGTCGCAAGGTGTTGCCACGATACTCATCGGCCTCGCCCTCGCGGTAGACGAGCGGTACGGTGTCCGCAGCTCTCAGGCTTGCCAAGGCGACCAGGGCGTCCAAGTTGACTCCTTCCTCGATGGCAAACACGCCAGTGTAGGTCCGTCCAGCGCTCTTGGCGCAATCAAGCGTGGAAGACCTCTTGCCCTTCTTCTTGCTGGCAGCCGATGCCGGGGGGCCTGCCGGTAACACACAGACCACGGCTGCCACGAGAGCGCCTCTCTCTGAAAAAACCGGGCCTGATGGCTGAGGGACCGCCCTACCTGCCAACGGAGTCTGGGGGACGTCACCGCCTGCCAAGCGGGCAAGCACGGGACGATCCGGGTTGCGCCTAACCGCGCCTGTTGGATGCTCTTCCGCTCTCGGGGCAGCCCCGCTTGGAGGCAACGCAATGCCGTGAGAGGACTCCCCCGGGGTGTCCTGGTTGGAGACAACGGGACTCCTGCTTGCAGCTCGCTTCATTGACCTGAACATCAGGCAACGTGCAGTTGTGACCTAGGAGTTTTTCGAGGCCCCGGCCACTGTGAGCAGCGGGACGCCTGTGCTTCGTAGCCAAACGCAAAAAAATGATTTTTTTCCGTCGTCAAACCCCAGTCTCCCAGGCCTTCAAGTCTCGACAATGTCGTCTGCTGTCAGCAAAAATAGCTTCGAGCTTGGGCATTAGCACATCTCAAACCACCCGAGAGCAAAGAGGGGAAAATCGGTGGCCCCCGAAAAACTAGTACCGTTTGGCACCCTCTTCGGAGGCCTCAAAGGCGTTCAAAACAAGCAAAGTCGTGCAACAACATGTGGACTCAAGCCACATCAAGCAAAACAAAAACAAGCAGAAAAACTAGCAAAAAGTCAACCGGCTGAAGGGTGCAATCAGGGTGCAATCAGGGTGCAATTAGGGTGCAATCAGGGGGCAAAAGGGTGCAACCCAAAAAGCCTGCAAAAACACACAAAAACGGGCAAAAGAGGGGAGGAGGATGAGAAAAGGGTGCAATCAAACAAGCAGAAAAAACGTGCAAAAACCAACCGGCTGAAGGGTGCAATCAGGGTGCAGTCAGGGTGCAATCAGGGTGCAATCAGGGTGCAAAAGGGCGCAACCCCAAAATCGTGCAAAAACACGCAAAAACGGGCCCAGTTGGGCGAACCATTGAAAAACGAAACCCCTCCAGATTTGTTGGGCGAACCAGTACTTAAAAACGAATCCCCCCGGGCCCGTTGGGCAGACCATTGAAAAACGAAACCCCTCCAGACCCGTTGGGCAGACCATTGAAAAACGAAACCCCTCCAGACCCGTTGGGCGAACCAGTACTTAAAAACGAATCCCCCCGGGCCCGTTGGGCAGACCATTGAAAAACGAAACCCCTCCAGACCCGTTGGGCAGACCATTGACCCCTCCAGACCCGTTGGGCAGACCATTGAAAAGGGCCCGTTGGGCAGACCATTGAAAAACGAAACCCCTCCAGACCCGTTGGGCGAACCAGTACTTAAAAACGAATCCCCCCGGGCCCGTTGGGCGAACCATTGAAAAAAAAATCCGAAACCCCCCCAGACCCGTTGGGCAGACCATTGAAAAACGAAACCCCTCCAGACCCGTTGGGCAGACCATTGAAAAACGAAACCCCTCCAGACCCGTTGGGCAGACCATTGAAAAAAAATCCGAAACCCCTCCAGACCCGTTGGGCGGACCATTGAAAAACGAAACCCCTCCAGACCCGTTGGGCGAACCAGTAGGGCGCAAAAGGGTGCAACCCAAAAAAGCCTGCAAAAACACACAAAAAACAGGCCAGAAGCGTGGGTGCCAGAGGACACGCTCCCAAAACAAGCAAAAAAACAATCAAAAAACAAGCGAAAAGTCAACCGGCTGAAGGGTGCAATCAGGGTGCAATTAGGGTGCAATTAGGGTGCAATTAGGGTGCAAAAGGGTGCAACCCAAAAATCGTGCAAAAACACACACAAACCGGCTAAAAAAGGGTGAGTGCCAGAGGACGCACTCCCAAACGAAGCAAAAAACACCCGCAAAATCAAGCAAAAAGCCAACCGGCTGAAGGGTGCAATCAGGGTGCAATTAGGGTGCAATTAGGGTGCAATCAGGGTGCAAAAGGGTGCAACCCAAAAAGCCTGCAAAAACACACAAAAACGGGCAAAAGAGGGGAGGAGGATGAGAAAAGGGTGCAATCAAACAAGCAGAAAAACGTGCAAAAGCCAACCGGCTGAAGGGTGCAATCAGGGTGCAATTAGGGTGCAATTAGGGTGCAATCAGGGTGCAAAAGGGTGCAATCCCAAAAGCGTGCAAAAACACACAAAAAAGGGCAAAAAGGGGAGGGGAGGAGGATGAGAAAAGGGTGCAATCAAACAAGCAGAAAAACTAGCAAAAAGTCAACCGGCTGAAGGGTGCAATCAGGGCGCAATCAGGGTGCAATCAGGGTGCAAAGGGGTGCAATCCCAAAAGCGTGCAAAAACACGCAAAAACGGGCCCAGTTGGGCGAGTCAGTATCAACACGAGGTTGGGCGAGCCAGTACCGAGCGCAGGTTGGGCGAACCAGTATCAAACCTGAACGGGTTGGGCGAACCAGTATCAAAACGGGGTTGGGCGAACCAGTACTTAAAAACGAATCCCCCGGGCCTGTTGGGCGAACCATTCAAAAAAAAATCCGAAACCCCCCTCAGACCCGTTGGGCAGACCATTGAAAAACGAAACCCCTCCAGACCCGTTGGGCGAACCAGTAGGGCGCAAAAGGGTGCAACCCAAAAAAGCCTGCAAAAACACACAAAAAACAGGCCAGAAGCGTGGGTGCCAGAGGACATGCTCCCAAAACAAGCAAAAAAACAATCAAAAAACAAGCGAAAAGTCAACTGGCTGAAGGGTGCAATCAGGGTGCAATCAGGGTGCAATCAGGGTGCAATCAGGGTGCAAAAGGGTGCAACCCCAAAATCGTGCAAAAACACGCAAAAACGCGCCCAGTTGGGCGAGCCAGTGCTAATCCTACGTGCCGACTCGGCACTCCTAAGTGCCTGCTTGCTCAGCACCCCCCTACCGGTGCTTGCTCAGCACCCCCTACCGGTGCTTGCTCAGCACCTCCTACTCGGTGCTTGCTCAGCACCCCCTACTGGTGCTTGCTCGGTGCTTGCTCAGCACCTCCTGTTCGGTGCTTGCTCAGCACCTCCTACTCGGTGCTTGCTCAGCACCACCTACTGGCGCTTGCTCAGCGCTGTTTACGGGTGCTTGTTCAGCACCCCCCCGACCCAAAAAAATCCCGCCCCCACCCCCCCAGCAGCGCCAGACCCTCGAAGTGCTTCGCCAGGATGCTCCACCTGACACGCACGGCAGCCTGACAGGGAATGAAAAAAACTTCGGGGGTTTGGGCCATGCCAAAATCAAGCAATGCGAAAAACCGTGCAAAACGAGCTATTAGTCTCGTATCTAGACATACGGACGCAAAAACCGTGTAAAAAGCTCCCAACCATACGGGCACAGATCCGGAGAGTGCGCGGCCGGGCAAAAAAAACTGGGCCCGTAAAAAAAAGACAAGTTGGGCAAGACAACGACAGCAGATCACGCCGCGGACGGCGGCGCCCGGGCTCGCACAGGGGCGGATGGTGCCGTCGTGCTGAACTTGCGGCGCGGCCAGGGGGCCTACGCGCTGCTCTCGCGCGCGGACGGGCAGCTGACCCGGGCGGGGCAGCACTACTCCCACCTGGGCCTGCGGCCTTCAGCAAGGACTTCGACTACAGCCCCTCATCCGCGAGGGGCCCAGAAGAAGCTCGTGCGCTCCCTGCAGGGCGGAGAGCACCGGCTGACCAACCTGGGCAAGGGAGGCGCAGCGGGCGGAACGCGGGCGCGGGCTACGAGCGCAGGGACTGGCTGCCGGTGAACGAGCTGGGCGGGGCCACGAGGCACCCGGCGCACCTCACGGAGGAGCAGGTGGCGCAGCAACAAGTGGAGGCCTCGCTGGACCCGGGCGGCCCCATCCTGCAGCTCTCGGACGAGACCCACCTCTCTCTATACACAAAGGTTTCCAACTGCCACAATATTGCAGCTACAGACCCAGCAGAGCTCGTCCGCTCAGGAAACGACCTTGTCCTGCGAAGAATTTCAAGTCCAGAATTGCTCCTGCAGCCACGGCGCTGCAACGTAACGCACCCTCGATTTGCTTGCAATTTGCCTTGTAGCCTCACTTCTGCACGCCAACTTTTTTTTTGCAGGCGGTGTGTAGAAGTGAGGCTGCGTGAATTCCTGCGCAAGCTTTGCTGGGTCCGTAACTGCAATATTGTTGGAGTAGGCAACCCTTGTGCATACCACCTCTTCCTCTGGGCCGGGTCCTGGATTTTTTATTTGAAAATCCAAATGCTTCCATCTCTGGTAAGTCTCCGCGTGCTTTCTGTGCCGGTACTCCTCTGGGCCGGACCTTGGAATTTTTTTTTATATAAAAATCTGAATGCTTCCATCCCTGGCAGGCAGTCTTCCGCGTGCTTTCTGTGCTTGGACTCCTCCGGGCCGGCTTTCCGGTTAAGTCTCTGCCGCCGCCGCAATCTCGTCACAGAGCGCCGCTGGAATGCTGTACAGCAGCTCACGGGACTGCCTGCGAACGTTCTCGTAGCGCTGGCCGATTTTCCGGGGACCCCTTTGTGCGGCGCGTGCGTGCCTGCCGTTCTCCCAGGCCTCGCAGCGGTTGCCGGGCCCGCAGAGTCCGCAGCTGGGCGCCCAGCGCATGTTCGTCCAGAAGCGTGTCTGCTTCTTAAAGGGGGTACCGTACAAGCAGTATGTGGCGTCGACGAATCCGAGGCGCTGCATAAAGGGCCTTGTCTTGAGCAGTCCCGTCTGCGGGTTCTCGATGGCCCAGAGTCGCGGCGCGAGGTAGGCGATGATATCGATGGCCCGAAGCACCAGCGCATCCCCCTCGTGGAGCCTGCGGGGCCTTGTGGTGAGCGCCTGGGAGTATTCGGTGCAAACGGGTGACGCCCACACAAAGTCGAAGCGCCCGGGCGGGAAGGCGGCGCGGTAGTCCCAGCGCAGAATGTCGCAGCAGATGGTGGGTGTGAATTTGGGCAGGATGTCCAAGCTGACCACCTCCCAGCCCCTGGCCTCAAAGGCCCTTCCAATTGATCCGGTGCCCTTGAAGAGCTCCAGCAACGCGGGCATATTTCTTTGAAGCGTCCTGCGCACCTCCCCGTCCCCGCAGCGGTCCCTCCACACTGGACTAAGGCGTCGGCGAAAACATATGTAAACATGTTTGAAGGACCTGTCACCGGCAATATCCCGGAGGTCCTGGACAACGGAGAGGTAACTGACGGCACGCACGTCACCGCAGGGCAGCTGGCCCTCTAGCCGTGAACACGGCAGCCTCCGGCAACAACGCAGCCGCCATCCAGTCGCTGGACGACCGGGTCACCGCAGAGCAAAGCTGGACAGCAGCGCGCTGGCGCCGGCAATTGCGCCCCTGGCCACGGCAGCAGCCCTGGCCACCACGGACGGACAGGTGGCC